AATATGGGACTGATCCAGACTCCCCAAATGTGAGTGTCAGTGAGGAGGCCTGGGCAACCTATGGGGCCCTGAGCAGTGGATCACTGTTTGTCCCTGGAATACAAACAGACATCGTGTGTCCATAGCACAAAGAGGGTTGCTCTCTCAGCCTGGACTCTTAGGGGAGTGCCTGAACCCTACCCTGAGTGAAATGACAGACTCTAGATATCCCCTATGTGGAAGGAATTGGCAATAGGGTGGGAGGCTGGGGGGGGTGGTGGGGGGTGCGGGAGGAGGGGAGGGAGAGGGAACTGGGATTGACATGTAAGAAAAAAAATATGTATTTTGTCAGTAATTGTGTGGGGAGTGTATATGTGCGTGTATACCACATACATAATAAACACAGTCATAAGTGCAGAGAATATAAAAACAACTTTTTCACAAAAGACATCACATTGTTCCATTTATCAATTCTTTATATTCAAGTAAAAACATGATAAGCATCAATTAATGCCAATTGGATGCCAGTCATAACTTAAAAAATAAATCTGAATGAATACTAAATGTGGTTGAACTTGAGAAACTGCTAAAAATAGCTATTAGGCATTTAAGAGAAAATGAGCACTTTGGAAAAATTTAATATTATCGTAATCAAGTAATTCCAATTTTGGGTATGTATACTTTATAGAATATATACATTACTAGATAATGAGCAATGGTAGATTTTAAATATAGTGTTCTTTTGTAGTAATGATAATATTAGAAATAAGTGTTTTATGAAATACAGAATGAGTAAACATATTGTGGAAAACTTATTAAAATGAAAATTGAACAGTATTATTTTGTATGTAAATTTGGGTCATCTCCCAAAACACAAGCTTGAGCAAACAAAATAAAACTGGTTATACGTGGATAGTTCAGTATAATCATTTGGTTTATATATTCATATATATCATGAAGCTTGTGTCTTGATATCAAAGGTTTCTTTAAAACACATAGGGAAAGCTGGGCGGTGGTGGCGCACACCTTTAAACCCAGCACTAAGGAGCCAGAGGCAGGTGGATCTCTGTGAGGTCGAGGCCGGGCTGGACCAACAGCCTCCAAAACAACACAGAGAAACCCTGTCTCATAAAACCAAAAACAAACAAACAAACAAACAAAAAAAACCACAAAACGCATAGGGAAGCCACTCTTTAGATTAAAGTAAATAGCTACAATTTGTCTGCCATGTTTATAAGCATATTAGTTCTTAGCTTATTATCAATGCATCTTTGTGTTTCTAAAGTTATTGATTAAAATATTTTTAAAAGAATAAGTAGTTTATGATTCTGCCAACATGTGTACTGACTTAATTTTTATCCCATATTGTTTTAAAATCCCCAAACAATCTAAGTAGTGCATGCTCATTTTAGCAACAAGAAGTTAAACATAGCTTTTGTATACAATATGGAAACACTTAACAGTTTGACTGTTCTCTGAAAATACAACAACCACTTAAGTTTCTTCAAATCCTTGTTTTGCATCTATGCATAGAAAGGCAACTGTGAAGCCATCACAACAGAACCTGAGTTTTTTTTTACTTTGTAAAATGTATTTATTCTATGAATGTTGACAGAATATAATGTTTCAAGAGCCAATACCGATTTTTTGCCATATAGTAGAGAAATTTCCAGTTCTTTAACACATGTGTCAACTGTTTTCTTGGATACATAGTTAAGTCAATATAACCATTTGAGACATTGCTATAGATACATACCCAAAGGACTACTTCCATACCTATTAGTTAAATGTAAAACTTACCTTAGAAGTGTTTCATCTGTGCATGTAAGCCTTGTTTACTATTCGAACATTAATTCCAGGAATATACATCATTTGACTTAGTGGTCATAAGTTTTGCTTTGTAGAAACAACCATGAGAAGTTTCTATACCAAATTATAGGGCAGATGTCTATCCAATACTCAGCACTCCATTAAAACATGAATATTATACAATAATATACTTTTATCCAAAAAGGAAATATGAAATGTAAAAAATAGATTGTCTTCTACAGGAAAAGTAATGCTAAAGTCAGGTGAGATTAATACTGTCCATTGAAATGGGGATATTCAATAGTCAATAAGTTCCCTCCATCAGAGGGTGCTCAAATATTTGTGTAATAAGAACAACGAAGACAGTTCATAAGGTTGTTAACTAGATGTATATAGAATAATTATTAAGTCACATTTATATATGAATTTTCAGACACAAAGATATTAGTGAATAATTTTAAGCAATCTTACAATTTTTTAATTTAATGGATAATCTTAGTTGAATTAGATTATATGCAACAACAGAATTGAATAATGTGAATATATTTTAAAACATGGAGCTGGAAAGATTGGTTGGTGTATAAGGCAACTAGCTCTAACTCTGAAAGCCAATGTTCAATCCTCACAAGTCACATGGTGGAAGGAAGAAACCAACACTCACAACATGTCCTCCCACATCTACATGTGCAGGCAAATGCACCAGAGAATAAAAAATAAATAAAATGTAATAAAATATTAACATATTGTTAGCACAGTTAATTTAAAAATATGTTAACATATATAAGCATACAATTAGTTTAAACAAAGGCAGCCCATAAACAGTAAGTAGTATGTTATTTATTTGGAGAGTAATGTTGGTGGATATTATAAATAAAATATAACAATTTCATCAACTGGGAACAAAATAATTTATGATGCTTGTGATCAAAATAAACTAGCAAGTTCGGCTTTTCTCTATTCTTTTGAGAGATGTAAACCATATTTCAGCTGTAGTAGCTGTCAGTATGAAATTTTTAAAATGTCTAATCTGAGCATTTGGATGAGAACACATATTAATAATACGGAAGAATAAAAAAGAAAGAGGCCAATGCAAAGTATTTAATGAGCACTTAATCTCTGGGGTCTTTATTTATCTTTACTTATACTTGCTCCTGACTGTCAAAAAGTAAGAAATATTTGCTAAAATTGCCTATAGAGCTAACATTTACTAAGCAACATATAGGAATGCAAATTTTTGCTACGCTGCAAAAAGGATATAAAACTGATCCATGTTTGCTATGTCTGTATGTTTACAAAATTTACAATACAAAATATTAACAAATTTAGTCAGCACAGTCATATTGCAGCTATGATGGACAGTTTAGTGTGGTCTCGAGAATTACTTCATAAAACCCAGAATTCTCCAGGAACCTGAAAATCAGAGTTTCTCTATTTTATTCAACCACTGACACCTTACTTCACCAAGACAGCAAATTTTTCTAACTATTGTTATGGGAGGTGTTTTCTGGAAGCTATCTTGTACAGGAGAAATAAAAGGAAATGTACCGCCAGGATTTTAGGATTGCAGTTACAATGACAGAGTTGCTAAGGACATAAATTTAACTTAGGAATCACACAGAAAAAAAAAGCCAGCTGTAGTTTTCATTTGGTGATTTAGACAGAACATACACATATACAGGAAATGAAACAGATCTAGCTATCCAATAAGACTCTAGAATGTGCCAGTATGAAACAATTACAGCTACTCTAAAGATAGACTCTTGACAGAATCACACTGTGCTTATATAAGAAGTTGTAGTTTTCTTTGTTTGCAGTAATACAAATCATATACATTTATATGCTGTGTTAAAGATGTCTCTACAAATCTTTTTCATGTGTTGTTCAAACCCAATTGTTCTTCAGCAATGCTTTTCTTGAAGGGAACCATGGAAATTTTGTTTAATGATAAATATTGCAGCAATTTGAAGGAAATGGTACTTAAAAGTTCTTTCTGTTGAGATGAATTCTTTTCTGTATAATACCTAGTCAACCAACAGTGAAAATCATTTCCATATTAGCAATTTTTGTCATTATATTTCATAAGAAATTTCATTATTATATAAGTCTGAAATATGTAAATGACTGTAATTTTCTTATGACATACTTGGGAATACTATTTTTCAAGAATTTTATATGATAGTTTAATTAAGTCTACTTGGCATGTTAATGCAAATTAGCTTAGAAATACAGTATAATTATGGAATTTAAGAACTATCACACATTTGTCTTAAATGTTGACTGCTAGGCTATTTTACAGATACTCAGTGGTTCAATGACACAGTTTTGCCTTTCTATATGTTTAATATCTCAATTATTATGATAGATCAAATAAGAATATACAATATTTAATTTATATGAAATAACTCAAAACAAAGTTGGTCTATAATTATCAGCTTTCTTTTCTAGGGCCTTATTAACCCGATTTTATGTAGTTAGACATCAATGTGAAATGAATATACACCATAGTTATAGTTTGTGTGAATTCTTTTAGTTATGTGTTTGTTTTGATTTTGATCCTAAGGTCTGAACTTAAGTCTTCAGTACTATGAGAAGCACCTGCATGAAGCCACATGTTACCAGATCTCTGTTTTCCCTTCACATTTTTATTTGGATGTTGTCTAATTACATTTCTTAGGCTAGCTTGCAGCTCACTATGTAGCCCAAACATCATTTGAACCTGTGATCATCTTGCCTCAGACTCCTGAGTAGCTGGGATTAGGCTCCTGTGTCTCTAGGTCTAACGCTTATTATAAAACTGTATTATGTTTGGGAAAGTGCTTTATTCAGTTGAAAATTTCATAGGACAAATTAAAGTATGGTATAAGTAGACTGTAAGCACGGAGAATAATTAAATATCAAGATATTTACTAATATGTATATGGTAGCTATTGTTGAGTACTAGAAATAAATAATCTGGTAGGATTTTAATTTTAAGTGGAATTTTAACACAATAGTGTTGAATTAGAAAAATCCAATCTTGTTTTTAATGCTTTATTTTGATTCTTTAATATATAATTTCTACATAGACATTACCATCTACAGTTGATAGCAATTTAGTCATTCCACAATTTCATTTATTAAAATCTCATTATATAAAATTAAGTTGAAAATTCCCACTAATGTAATTAGAAATTAATCCAGTTTGAAACGTGTTATCAAGTGGACAGGCTTACCATAGTCGTTTCTGCAATGGAGCCAAAGCTGTTTATGAATATGTTGCATGTGACATTCACTGGAGGACCTGAAAAAGAGAAGAAAATTATGAAGGCTGATAGATGCTCATCTGAAATATTTTTGAGTTATTCTATGCTTTTCAATATTTACAAAAAAGAGTAGGGGTATTTCTTGTATGTTCATAGATATGCAGCCTAGCAGGCAGTTATTCTGCAAGTGTGGGTGAAAAAATCTCAAGGTTGGTGTGATGTCCTTTGAACAGTGACACTGTCTAAAATATAAAAATGTATCCTTGTGAGGTAGAGATTTAATTATGTTAAGGTCTATTTTCATGCTCCATGAAGACCAAATGGTGACAATTCTGGTTAATCTCAGGCTTTGTACGGGCAAGAAGAAAATGAGAAGGGAGAAGGGAGAACCCATTTCCTTCATCTCCAATTTGTAGCTGTTTGGGGACTGTCTGATGAATATAGTCTATGAGTCACTTTAGTGACATTCTCCTGGTCTTTTCTCCAGGATATTTTTCTGTCCTTGCATGTCTCCTAAAATGTTGTTGAAATAAGAAATATTAAGTAGGCCATGGTGGTATATAGCTAGACAATGTTTGGCAGTACACATCCAGCCCCATATACACATTCACCTCCAATCCACACTTTTTATTGCTTTTAGGTTTTATTATTTGTTGTTCAGTGAGTTACAGTGGCTTCTAGTCACTGAAATTTTATTCTGTGAACTTTGCGGTCAGAATGGTTGCACAGAGGTTTCTTGAGTTCCCTGAGCCTGAAATTCCAGTCAGGGAATTTCATTTTCTTTGAAGGCACGGCTTCTATGCTCAAGACGATATGACCCTCTGACTCTCTACCTTGCTTTTCTCTTCTTAGTACAGGGCACATGCTCAGTCAGAATGGATAGAGAGCACAACCAGGTTCTGACAGCTTCCACCGAACCAAGGCTTTCCTCAAACATGTTCTAAGACAAGTCAATTATCAAGTAACTTCTGTTGAGAAGCTCCAGACAGGCCACAGAATGACAATAATCTTGGGATGTACTGTCGAAAGAGCTCTAGGGTTGTCCATTCTCTTGGAAGCTGCTAAAATGGTGCTGCATTTCAGGCTACTATAAGCCTGGGCAATGGACCAAATCTGAGTGCCTTTTGATGTTAAAGAATCCATCAGTTTTTCTTGAATAAACACGTCCCAGAATGTTACAAGTTTGAGCTTTATTTTTAGGATTCTGAAGACTAATTTTGATGATTCTGCCAATGTTCCATTGAGAAAGGAGACTCCCCACTCTACTATCCTTCACTACTGTCTGAATTTCTGATTGCAGGCACCATAAATTCAAGAAATCTTGTTTTCGTTATTTCCATTTACTCACTACCTCATTAAATATCTAAAACCTGTGAACAGCAAATGGAAGATTCACAGAGATACACTAATGATAACTGAGCTGGGAGATCTGGGATCAATTAACTCTTGAGTGCTTCTTGCCAAGTATAGAATATTACTTACTCCAAAATAATCGAGGCCTGAAAAATGTTCTACCATTTGTACATTAGGATATCAAAAGTAACAAATGCCACAGGGGACAATTTAGGTGCTATATGTAGCATGGTAAGATCCAATTTTAAAAACTATGTTTTTATAACAGTGTGATCTTTTCCCTAATATTCTTTAGATGATATTCTATAAACACTCAAGTTCTGTAATTAGTCTGATAGTTATATAAATGAAGCGTTTTTTTGTACAGGTTAAATTTCTCTGCTTTAAAATTTATCTAAATTAATCATAGAAGGAAAATATACAAACTAACATATGAGAATAACTCATTTTGTTTCCTTAGCTAATACATAAGAGTAAATTTATTTTGAAGGGTTACTATAAGCTCATCTGTACCTTCCTCTTTTTAGAAAAAAATTAACTGCTTTTACAGATTTTTTGAAAGCTTGGGGAATGGGCTCTGTGAGTAAAGGCTTGTGCTGTGCAAAGATGAGGATCTGAGTTCCAGTCCTAAGTACCTAAAGAAAAACATCTAGACATTCATGTGTGTGCCTGGAGTCCCAGCATTGATAGGTGGAAACCCGTGGGTTTTAGGAGCTCTGTGGTCATGTCAGCCTAGACAGCAAACTGTCAGTTCAGCAAGGGAGAGGGACTTTTTTCTCAAGTAAATAAGATGATTATTACATTTGAACAAATGTCATACAGACCTACATACTCACATGCATAGAACACACACACACGCACACACGCACACATGCACACACACACACACACATACATGTGCACACACACAAAAACAACAACAAAAGACAGAGATTGTTTGTGTATTCACCTAAGAGACTTAATGGTATAAGTATATATGTTCTGATGCTCACACAATGCTAAGGACTGAATCTCGTTTGTTTTTTGTATAAATTTTATTTAAATAAGAAACAATCTTATTTTACATACCAGTCCCACTTCCCTCTCCCTTCCATCCTCCCATGCCCCACACTGACCTCTCCCATCCCATCCTCCATCCACTCCTCAGAGAGGGTGAGGCTGTCCATGAGGGACCATCAGTATCTGTTAAGGACTGAATCTTTTCTTCATATTTCTCTCCATACTCCAAGCATAGAAGTATCTTTAATATCCTATTACCTGTACAGAGTTAAATTTTAATTTTTTTTGTAATATTCATTTTCTAACACCATTGTAGCAATGCAAATATACTTCAAGTGTATTATTAATTCATACGCAAGTTCTGAATGTGGCATTACCATCCCTAATTGATCAGGGGTTTGAATATAAAGGTTTATGTGTGAAATAAGGAAACAAATTTGTACCTACAGAATAGCAATTTTCAAAGGAAAATTAGGTCATTTAGATTTTTACAAACTGTTGGGGAAACACACTAAGTCAGAAAATACCTTTAATTTCATTTCATTTCTTACAAATCCTTTTTTCTGAAGTTGATAATAGTATTATATATTCCTCATAGCTTCCTCCCATGTGTGTTATTCCTGACCACAAGGCCTGAAATACATAAATTATCTATCTATGCATGAAACCCTTCAGATATTATAGTGGATTCATTTTTCTTGGGCCTATCAAGAATATTTTTCTCTATAGCAAAATAGTCAACCTGTTTAGAGTGTACAAGTTGCCAACAGTGCCCTGGGAAATGTTCCCGCTGCTTTGTTTTGTGGGATGCTCTTTCATGATGCCCATTTCTTCTTTGTAGGTTCATGTCTTCATTTTAATTGAAGATGTCTTCTGTTAATTTTTGAGAAAGTACATATGGCCATAACAGTTTAGAACTTCCTTACCTACAGATGCATTTTCATAGGTTTTCTTATAAAAATTTAAGCTAGGAATAATGTTTTGCTTCGAAGTTTTGATGTTATGCCTCCATTTTCCAGCATTGCCATAGAAAATTACAAAATGGTGATTTGTGATCCTATATATGACTTACGTTTCTTTCTAAAATTGTGTCAGCTAGGAATCATAATGCCATATTCAGAACTTGTGGAAAATTAAAGATAAACTTGGAGAATATTTACATTGCCATAATAATTTTAGAAAGTGACATAAATATGAAATTCTAACTATGTCTGTGTAACAGAATTTAAAAAATAGTTTTGCATTTGGGATATGGATGGATATATAAAAAAGACTCAATCTGTATCTTCTGGGTGGGGATAAAAGCATATGCCTACAACACTAAATTGCTTATTTATAAGACCCAAACCAATTTGAATGCTGAGCTTTAGAGCCTAGTTATATTGGACACATTTACACAACACTCTCATTCCTATGGCTCAGGGAGGGTGCAAAGAAGAGGTGGAAAGATTGTAGAAGCTGGAGGAGCAGGGAGTTGCTGAGAGATTGTGTCTGCTAATAATATCAGAAGCAGCACACATAAGGTCTCACCAGTACGACTCTCCAAATGTGATCAGAATAAAGAAGCATTGACAGAATCCCCAGCATGGACAGGGGATAATGCCATGAGACCTCAAACCTACACACACAGAAGTCTAAACAAGTGTGTAAAGCTGAGAGTGGGAGAGGTACTCATCTCCAGGGAGGAGAACAGTGCTAAGTGGTCAGCCCGGAAAGCATACATATAAGTAATATTATATGGTTCAACAGGTTACATTTAGGAACATACATGTACATTTACATACAATCTCAAACGTAAAATTGAAAAAAGAAAAATCAAACAAATGAACGCAATAATAACTTATTGAGATAACTTGCGGTAAATGCCCAAAGAATTTGGTGGTAAGAGAAAATGGAATTTGCTCTACCGTTTCTTTGTATTTCATCAAAAGGAAAGTGTGATGTCACAATTAAGTATCAGAGATAAGCTTTTCCTTCACTCTGCCTAAGTCTAAAGTGACATATTCTGAAAGTACTCACAGGGGGTTGGTATCATTCGAAACTTAAAGGAACCTTTCACACTTTCAGGCTCCAACTCTGTGATTCCATTAACAGTAAACACTGCTGTTTTCTCTTGCAAGTCTCAGGATCAAACTTTAGTTTCAGATTAATTATATTATACCTTCTTGATTTTCCTTTAGAAAAGAAAACCGCAAATTTGCTAGTGTTGCTTTAATTCACTTTCAAATAAAATGCAGATAAAGATGCAAAATAAGATGCATACACATGTACTCTGGGAAGACAGCTTGAAGAGCTGTAACAGGACTACCAGTCCCATTCATTTGTTGAAAATGAGATAAAGAAAACAGAAGGGGGCGACTTGCCTTCCTTGTTTTATCAGAAAGGGCCTTTGCTGTAAAATTTTGATTTTTACTAGGCATTGAGTAAAAGGTGAGGTATTCTCTGATTATTTTTAGTACCATTTTTGGATGATTTTTATTCATAAAGGTATGAATGGTAGTAGAGAAAAAAATCAGGGCAAAATAATAACTTCTACTTTAATAAATTTTTTGAGAACCAGTGTTTCAGGGCATTTGTTCATTATCCCATGAAAGTTCAGAAAGGGCTTTGCTAAATACCATATTACGAGGAGAAACCAATGAAATTGTTAATTTTTGTGCATAAAATATGGTGATGCCATCCTCTG